CAATGATGAGATATTTGTGAAGGGAACACTTAATTAATGACCTCAAACACATTTCCGAACCTCAGCTGTGCTCATCTATAAAATGGGAACGATTCAGAGTTGCTAGAAGGTGGGTAGGGGGGAGGCCGTTAAAACAGATTGCTGGGTTTGGCAGCTCCTCAAAAAGTTCCAGGTAGAATTTCCATATGACCCAGCAAGTCCACTCCCAGGCAGCTGCCCAAGAGAATTGAAAACAGGGACTCAAACAAGCCCTTGTACTCAGATGTTCACAGCAGCGCCATTCCCAAGAGGCAAGGGGTGGCAACAACCCAGTGTTGGTCAGCGGATGAAAGGGGGAACAGCCACACAACAGAATATCAGTGGGCCGTTAAAAAGCAGTGACATTCTGGTACCTGGAACGACCTGGATGAACCTTTCGAACATTGTGCCAAGTGAAATAAGCCAGGCACAAAGGACAAACGCTGTGTATGAGGTACCTAGGACAGAAAAATTCATAGCAACAGAAAGGAGAAAAGCAGTTACCAGGGGATGAGAGAGGGAGAATGGGAAGTTTTTGACTATTGGGTCCAGCGTTTCTGTTCAGGATGATGAAAATGTTCTGGAAATAGATGGTGGTTGCCCCAACACTGTGAATGTACTTACTGCGACTGAATTGTAGACTCAAAAATGGTTAAAATGACAAATTTTATATTATATATATATTTTTACTATAATATGAATAAATAAATAAACAATTTTTAAAAGGAATGAAGTACAATACCCCCCCCTTATCTGTGGGGGTAAGTTCCAAGACCCCCAGTGAATCCCTGAACTTTTTCCCGTCTGATTAACTGAGCAGGTCATTCGGTGACCAGAGTGTGGACAAGGGGATGATTCACATCCCGAGTGGGACAGAGCAGGATGCTCCGAGATTTCAACACGAGACTCCGAATGGTGCACAAGTTGAAATGTATGAATTGTTTATTTCTGGAATTTTCCATTTGATATTTTCCGGCCACAGTTAACCATGGGTAACTGAAACTTCGGAAAGCAAAACCTCAGACAAAGGCAGAACTATTGTACTTGGTATACGCTGCAATGCGAACAAACCGCAGAAACATGATTCTAAGTGAAAGAAGCCAGATCTCAAAGGAACACATATTGTATGATTCCACTTATATAAATATCCGAGACAGGCAAACCCATAGAGAGCAAATTCGTGGTGGCTAGTGTTTGGGGGGTGAGGAGGGGGAGTAGCTGCCTAACAGGTACAGGGAATGCTCTTAGGATGGTGCAAACACTTAAATGTAGGACATGCTGACCATAGTTGATTACAATGTCTTGTATTTTTGTCAATTAAAAAAATAAAATAGGGCCGGGCGCGGTGGCTCACGCCTGTAATCCTAGCACTCTGGGATGCCGCGGCGGGCGGATTGCTCAAGGTCAGGAGTTCAAAACCAGCCTGAGCGAGACCCCGTCTCTACCATAAAAATAGAAAGAAATTAATTGGCCAACTAATATATATAATATAAAAATCAGCCGGGCATGGTGGCTCGTGCCTGTAGTCCCAGCTACTCGGGAGGCTGAGGCAGGAGGATCGCTTGAGCCCAGGAGTTTGAGGTTGCTGTGAGCTAGGCTGACGCCACGGCACTCACTCTAGCCTGGGCAAGAAAGCGAGACTCTGTCTCAAAAATAAATAAATAAATAAATAAAATAAAATAAAATAAAATAGGCTGGGCGAGGTGGCTCACACCTGTAATCCCAGCACTTCGGGAGGCCAAGGTGTTAGGATTGCTTGAACCCAGGAGTTCGAGACCAGCCTGGGTAACACTGTGAGATTTCATCTCTACAAAACAATAAAAAAATTAGCCAGGCATGGTGGTGCATATACCTGTAGTCCCAGCTTGGAAGGCTGAGGTGGGAGCATTTCTTGAGCCCAGGGGTTCAAGGCTGCATTGAGCAGTGATGGGGCCACTGCACTCTACCCTGGGCAACAGAGCAAGATCCCCATCTCTAAAAAACTAAAAATAAAATAAAAAATAATAAAATATTTAGGAAGAAGTCTTACAGCTTCATCATAAAAATACAATCCAATTTTTAAAACAGGCAAAGAATCAGCTTATGTGAAACAATTAGACATTTTTCCAACGACAATATACAAATGGCCGATAAACACATAAAAAGATGCTCAACATCATTAGTAATTAGGGAAATTCAAACCAAAACCATAATGAGATACCATGTCACATTCACTAGGATGGCTGGGATAAAAAAAAAAAAAAAACACAAGCAACAACAAGTGTTGTCAAAGATGCAGAGAGACTTGGACCCTCACACATCACCGGCAGGAACGTAGAATGGTGAAGCTCTGTGTAAAACCGTCTGGGAGTCCTGCAAAAAATTGTACGTAGAGTTACCCGGTCATTGCACTTACATGTATATGCCCCAGAGACATGAAGACATATGTCCACTCAAAAACGTGTGTGTGAGTGATCACAGCAGCATTATTCAGAATAGCCGGAAAGTAGAAACAACACATGTGTCTATCAACTGATAAACGGACACACAAAATGTGCTCGTCCGTGCAACGGCCATTATCAGTAGTGCCCGCCATAAAAGAGAGTGAAAGACCAGCAGAGGCCCCAACATGCATGAAACTCAGAAACAGGCAGTCGCAAAAGGCCACATAGTGTCTGATTCCAGTCACGTGACATGTCCAGAGGAGACGAAGCCACAGAAACAGAAAGCAGGTTAGTGGCTGCCAAAGGCTGGGGGAGGAGGAATGGTTTCTTCTTGGGTGATGGAAATGTTCTGGAATTCCATCGTGGTAATAGTTCAATATACTGAAAAACGACTGAATTGTACTCTTCAAAGGGGTGAATTGTATGGTATATAAACTCTATCTCAATAAACGTATGGAATAATGTTGCTCTGGTACTTAGAATTAAATAATTATAAAAATAATAAAATCGAATCAAATTGTGAAAAAAAAAGTCAGACACCAGCCCACTGGGTCCCCTGCTCCAGGAACACACATCAAATTCTTCACATGGTCTCCTAGAAACATCCCACACCCCAGCTGGGTATGAGGGAAGAGGGGGTTCCTCTATACCCTCATATGGCCAGCAGGGGGCGCTATGACACCCCCCCCCCCCAGCTTTCACTAAAAAACAGATTTACAGCTGTTTGCTGGGTCTCTTTTCAGAGGCTGCAGCTGGGTTCCCTGAGGCTGCAAATCCGTTCCTGCCCATGGCCCACGCAAGCCCACACGGGGGTGCCAGTCCACTGGGACACACACTGAGTGTTTCTCAACAACAGAAATTAATTTCCCCACAGTTCTGCAGGCTAGAAGTCCAAATCAAGGTGTCAGCTTGATGGCTTATAAGTGACTGTCTTCTCCCTTCGTCTTCATGTCTTCACACGGTCTTTCCTCTGTGCCCTAATTTCCTCTGTTTTTGTTTTATTTTGGATTTTTGAGACAGGGTGTTGCTTTGTTGCCCAGGCTGGAGTGCAGTGGCCCAATCATAGCCACTGTGGCCTTAAACTCCTGGGCTCAAGCAATCCTCCTGCCTCAGCCTCCCGAGTAGCTGGGACTACAGGCACAGGCCACCACACCTGGCTAAATTTTTTATATTTTGTAAAGATAGGGTCTTTCTACTTTGCCCAGGCTGGTCTCAGACTCCTGGCCTCAAGTGATCCTCCTGCCTCAACCTCCCAAAGTGCTGGGTTTATAGGGGAGAGCCACTGCACTTGGCGCCCTCTTCTTATAAAGACACCAGTCCCATTGCATTAGAGCCCACCCTAATGACTTTTTTTTTTTTTCTGAGACAGAGTCTTGCTTTGTTGCCCAGGCTAGAGTGAGTGCCGTGGCGTCAGCCTGGCTCACAGCAACCTCAAACTCCTGGGCTCAAGCGATCCTCCTGCCTCAGCCTCCCAAGTAGCTGGGACTACAAGCATGTGACACCATGTCCGGCTAATTTTTTTTTGTGTATATATATATATATAATTTTTAGTTAGTTAATTTCTTTCTGTTTTTAGTAGTGACGATGTCTCTCTCAGGCTGGTTTCGAACTCCTGACCTTGAGTGATCCTCCTGCCTCAGCCTCCCAGAGTGCTAGGATTACAAGCGTGACCACTGTGCCCGGCCCCTAATGACTTTATTTCAACTTAATTTCCTCTTTGACAACCCTATCTCCAACTTCGGTCACAGTCTGAGATTCTGGGAATTAGGATGTGAACCTCTAGTTTGGGGGAGATACAGTTCAACCCATAGAAGGGGGCAGCATCTCACTTTAAAACATGATGGTGCCTGACAGCTGTGGTCTTACACCCTCTGCCAAAACTGAGACAGAAAGTTCCATTTAATGTCATGCGATGCACTTTTCTTTTTACATCTCTTTGCCAAGCTGTCAATTGCAGAAACCTCAGAATGGCCATTTTGCTTTTGGGGTGGTCCCCTGAGAGCCCAGCCGTCCTTATCAGCCCATGTCGCCCTCCCAGGGCACCAGACTCAATGTCAGCACAGGTGACCCTTCACCTGGACAGGAGACCAGGCCCCGGGAGAGCAGAAGTCTGGAAGCGGTGGCATTTTGTCCCCATGGCCAGACGCCAGGGGTCCACCCCAGACCTGCCACTTCCTAAGGATGTGACCAATCCCGTCACTCCCCTCTCTGAGCCCCCAGTTTCTGGTCTAGAAAAATCAGGGGATTTGGACCTAATCACCTGCTGGCCATAATGTTCTAGAATTACAAAATTAATCCCTGAATAACAAAATAATCCCCATGGAATCAAACCCTCGGCCCCACCCGAGGTCCCATTGCAGTGTCGCCCTGGCCCCAGCGGGGTCCCTGGGGAACATTTCTTAAAGGGGCCGAGATTCTTCTCCGGCTCCATCACTGGTCAAGTTCAAGTTCATCCTGGTTTCGAGGCCTCACCCGAAAGCCTCCAGTGTGTTCCTTAAAATCCGTCTTCCACAGTCCTGGGCGAGATAGCCCCGCCCCTGCCCCAAGTTCAGGGCCACCCGGAGGTGCGAGAAGGGCGTTTTGCGACCTGACGCTGGCCACCCGTGGGCAGCTGCCGGGCGGGGCTCGGTGCCCGCGGGGCCCCTGTTCTGCGACCTCCCCAGCCAGGACCTCGGGATGGCAGAGCCGGGGCAGGTAGATCTTGGGGCCCGGGGCCGGGAGGGACGGAGGGGGACCCGGGGAGGGGAAGGAACGAGGCCCCCGGCGAGCCCGGCCGAGCCGGCTTTGCATCAAGTCCGCCGGTCTCGCGGCGCCCTCTGCTGTCCAGGCCGCGCCATGGCGGGACCGGGACGGTCCCTCTGCCAAGCTGAGCGCGGCGCCTTGGCCACCCTAACCCTAACGCGCCCGTCCCCCGCGTCCTTGGCGCCAGACTGCGGGGAGATGACGGTGGGGCGCTGAGGTTGTAGTTGGGGAAACTGGTCAACCGTCGGGTCAGGTCGGGGATGTTCCTTATTAGATCGTCATCTTTCAAGTCACAACAGAAAGAGAGACCCAGCAAGGGCGAACGGTAGAGACACTTCATATGCGGGAACCCTGATCCTTCCAGCTTTCCGATTTCCACTGGAGGCTGATGCAGCTGGATCCAAGTGAGTGAGAAAAGTGGCGGGGGAGGGGCCGCCAGTCACCAGGGCCTGAAGAGCTTTGCATTCCGACTGAAATGGAACCTCTAGAAGGTTTTGAGCAGAGGACTGACATGAGCTGGATTTTTTTTTTGTTGTAGGTAGGACATAGGACGCTTATGTGGCCACCATCAAAGTCAAGAAACAGACCATGGCCAGCATCTCAACAGCTGCACACCTGCCTTCCCCATTATAACCCCGACTCCCACAGGGCCACCTTGGTTTCTACAGCACTTGCTTCCATTTGTGGTTTACTTACCTCGGTGCTCATTCCTAAGAGAGTATGGTTTTACATTGCCTATTTTCCAACTTTCTGTAAGTGGAATTATACTATTTGAAGTGTTATCTATGTCATTGCACACAGTAATGTCCGTTCATTTTACTTGCTGTGTAATATTCTATCATTTGCTGCTGATCACCCCAAATTCTACTGTGGATGGACACGTGGGTTGTTTTCAGTTTGGGACTCTTATTGACAATGCTGCTCTGACCATTTTTGGCCAACTGACCTGCGTGGCAGTCCCCGGGATCTGAACCTAGGAGTTGCTGGCCAGTAGGGTATGCAGATCTTTATACAAGATAAAGACAAACTGATTCCAGAGGGGTGGTAACTATTCACATTCTCATAGTAATTCCAGTCTTCACCAATGGTTCATTTTGTCAGATGTTTTAATTTTGTCAGGCACGTGGGTGTGCATTTTCCTCTAGCTAATGAGGCTTGCACCACGTCTTATTTCTTTTTTGAAACATACGATGCATTATGATTTGCTATAGTCACTGTGCAGTGCAAATGGGTCACTAAAGCCTGTGCCTCCCTCTCACTGAAATTCTGTACCCTTCAAGCAACCTCTCCCCTTCCTCGGCCACCCCAGTTCCCCAGCCTCCACCAACCCCCATTTTACTCTCTACTCCTATGAACTGGATATTTGTAGATCCACATTTAAGTGAGATCATGCTGTATGTGCCTGGCTCATTTCATTTAGCATTATGTTCTCGAGGTTCATCCATGTTGTCACAAATGACAGAATTTGGTGACCGAGCGAGGCAGGGAGGGAGGGAAAGACCAGCCTTTGACCCTGCTGGACAACTGTGGCAGTCACTGCTCACTCCAGACTTCTCATGGCGGTGGCTGGAGTTGTTCACCTGCATCACCGTTCAACTCTCTCTCTACCAGCCCTGACCCACTTCCTTCCACAGGTGACAGTCCCCAACAAACATCTGACATCCCAAACTTAGTCTTTGCATCTGCTTCTGGAGAACCCGACCTTATGCAACATTTACTGTTTCTTTCCTTATGTAATCTGCTTTCTTCTTTTTAAAATTCTATTTTGTCTCTCCCCCTCCCCCTTTTTATGGCTATTTGGAATGGTTTGTATTTTTGTTCTATGGTTATATTTATACTCATATGGTTTATAATGTTCTTAGTCCTCTCTTCTGTTGCTTTTTGGTTTGATGACCTTAAATTACATCTTTTTAACTCCTACCTGTTATCAATAAACTTACTCTACATTGCATTTTCTGTCTTCTTTCTCTCACTTTTTAGTTGTATTATTTATCTAAACATATAACATATAGAAATTATTTTTTTACCACTGTCCCATTTTTTTGTTTTAGTCTTTGATCTATAATTACATATGTTCCATGCTCACTATCAGGGGTTTCCCAAAGCCACCTCCTGCTTGGAGGAGCCCGTCAATAGGCTCCTCAAGAAAGGCTCGTGAGGACAGATTTCCTTGAGTCCTTGCCTATTCCACACTGTTTTCCACCAGCTTTCATACCTGAGGATAACTTGACTGGATTTGAATCCTGGGCACACACTTTCTTGCCCTGAGTTTCTTAAAAATGCTGTTCCACCATTGTCAAGCAAGGTAGGTATTTTTGTGGCAACCTTGGGAATTATTCCTTTATCCTTAAAATCTAATAATTTTACTAGGCTCTATCTCAAGATTGACAATTCTTAGTTTCCCCAGGAACATGATAGGTCTTAATTTAGGCCTTCTTTTATTTCCAGAAATATTTCTTGAATTACAGTTTTAAGGATTAGTTCTCTTCTATTGTTTTGTTCTTCCCCGCCATGGGGTTCTATTTACAGTGTGTTGGATGTTCTTTGATTCTCTTCTGTATCAGTCACTTTTTCTCTGATTTTTTTTAATTCTTTGGTTTTCTGTCCCTCCTGGCAATTTTCATGTCAATGCTCTTATATTTTCAGTCAGATCTATTTTCTCTGGGCCCTTTGTCATTAGTCTTCATTTTTAATATTATTTTCTCTTTTCCTCCAATTTTTATGCATTAATTCTCATTTTACACCTTCCTGGGTTTTTTACATTTCTGCTTAGAGATTTTAAATTTCTGGTTAGAGACGTTTTTCATCTGTTAATGATTGTTTAAGGCCATTTAATTTAGGTTGGAGTGTTTCTTCTTAGACTATTTTTCTGGGAAATTCTTTCATCAAATGTTTTAATTTGATGAAATGTTTTAATTCATTTCTAAAACATTTCCAATTGAAATGTTTTAAATGCTTATTTTGGTTTACTTCTTCTAGTCATCTGCTGTTTTATTTGTGACTTTTTGTTTGCTTGTTTTTGTTTTATTTCATTTTGGTTTTCTTAGAGACGGGTTCTCACTATTTTGCCCAGACTGGTCTCAAACTCCTGGCCTCAAGTGATCCTCCTGCCTCAACCTCCCCAAGTGCTGGATTATAGGCATGAGCCACTGCACTGGTGGTATAACTTAATGCAATGACAGTTGTGTGAAAATGGGGTGAAGGTTTGGAACAGCTTATTGTGTTTCTTGATTTTTGGAGGAGAAGAAAAGGGTTTTTGTGGCCTCTGACTTTGTGATTTGCTTTTGTTTCTGTGGGACCTTTTACTTTCACTTCTTGCTTCATTTTTTTCATTCACCACCAAGTTTCTGAGGGACACTTCCCTCTTTCGAGTTTCTCGTTTCTCCCCCAGAGACAGTGACTCCCCGAGACCACTACCTCCTTCCTGTGCACTTTGCTTCCCCTTTACCAATGACCCAGCTCAGCTCTCAGTTCGCAGGAAACAGAAAGACTGTGGTTTTCCACAGGAGTTTTTTTTTTTTAACAACTACGGCTTCCCTCTGACTCAAAGCATTAGAACAGGAAACCTACTCAACTCTCATCCCAAGTTTCAACTCCTCTCTAGCATTTGCCTTCTTCATTCCCTGGTTGTCTGTGTTTTCAGGTTTTTTTTTTCCTTCCTCTTGCTTTCTTTCTCTTAATTTTTCCCTGAATTTATCATTCTTTTTTTTTTTTTTTTTTTTTTTTTTTGAGACAGAGTCTCGCTTTGTTTGCCAGGCTAGAGGTGAGTGCCGTGGCGCAGCCTAGCTCACAGCAACCTCAAACTCCTGGGCTCGAGCGATCCTTCTGCCTCAGCCTCCCGGGTAGCTGGGACTACAGGATGAGCCACCATGCCCGGCTAATTTTTTATATATATATATCAGTTGGCCAATTAATTTCTTTCTATTTATAGTAAGACGGGCTCGCTCTTGCTCAGGCTGGTTTTGAACTCGCTGACCTTGAGCAATCCGCCCGCCTCGGCTAAGAGCTAGGATTACAGGCGTGAGCCACAGCGCCCGGCCTGAATTTATCATTCTTATCTGTGAAAGGGAAGAGAAGATGAAAAAAATAATAATTAGATAATTATTGCTAAGTGCCATTGATATCCTAGGAAAAGAGATCAAGAAGCTGTGGGAGATTAATAGACAATTAAAAGCCATGCATGAAAGCCACAGGGGCCCCAGGTAGCTTACAAAGAGGTTCTCACATCCTGCGGCAGGAGGGCACAGAGGGTGGAAGCCCGGGCTCCAGACGTGACATCATGGCTGAGCCCTAGAGGGGTTAAACGTGTCAGGTCTAACATGTCTAGGTCGGGGACCTGTCTAGGAGAAAAACGGGACCCTGATACATAGGGCACTTACAAATATTTAGAACTACCAATTTCTGCTGAATCTTCTAAGCCTACAGAAGTGACCACTTCTCCTTATTTAAAAACAGTCGCCCCCTCCTTGTTTGTAGATGATGCAGAGCTCTGTCCCCCACGAGATAGCACGTGGCCTCCCTGAGGCTCTGTGCCCCCACCCCCTCTTCTTTGCCAGGCCTACAGCTAGTTGCAGCATAACCCAGCTGAGGACATACTGCCCCTGATAAGGGGGAAAGGGACCATACCCTCAAAGAGGCTGAATTGCTGCCACAGAGGGTGAGAGAAGGAATTAAAAGACACAGGGAGGCCAGCCGGGTGCAGTGGCTCACGCCTGTAATCCTAGCACTCTGGGAGGCCGAGGTGGGCGGATGACTCAAGGTCAGGAGTTTGAAACCAGCCTGAGCAAGAGCAAGACCCCGTCTCTACTAAAAATAGAAAGAAATTAATTGGCCAACTAAAACTATATAGAGGGGAATTCATGTGGAGGTCAGAGTGGAAGCAGGTGTGAGTGGGTCCAACAGAAGGAAACATGGTGCCAAAGTGTTTGAGTCCATTGGCAAGTTCGGGCCTGGCTTAGCCGTTGCAGGAGGCGTGGTGGAACTCTGCCTTGTATAATGTGGATGCTGGGCACAGAGCTGTCATCTTTGACCGATTCCGTGGAGTGCGGACACTGTGGTAGGGGGAAGGGACTCACTTTCTCATCCCATGGGTACAGAAACCAATTATCTTTGACTGCCGCTCTCGACCGCGTAGTGCCAGTCATCAACTGGTAGCAAAGATTACAGAATGTCAACATCACGCCTGCGCATCCTCTTCCGGGCCTGTGGCTAGCCAGCTCCGCGCCATCTTCACCAGCATCGGAGAGGACTACGACGAGCGCTGTGCTGCCGTCCATCACCACAGAGATCCTCAAGTCAAGTGGTGGGCTCGCTTTGATGCAGGGGGAACTAATCACCCAGAGAGGGCTGGTCTCCAGCAGTGTGAGCGAATGACCTTACGGAGCGAGCAGCAACCTTCGGGCTCATCCTGGACGATGTCTCCTTGACGCATCTGACCTTCGGGAAGGAGTTCACAGAAGCGGTGGAAGCCAAACAGGTGGCTCAGCAGGACAGAGAGGGCAGATTCGTGGTGGAAAAGGCTGAGCAGCAGAAAAAGGCAGCCATCATCTCTGCCGAGGGCGACTCCAAGGCAGCCGAGCTGATCGCCAACTCGCTGGCCACCGCGGGGGACGGGCCTGATCGAGCTGCGCAAGCTGGAGGCCGCCGAGGGACATTGCGTACCAGCTGTCACGCTCTCGGAACATCACCTACCTGGCCGGCGGGCAGTCCGTGCTCCTGCAGCTGCCCCAGTGAGGAGGACCACCCTGGCCCTGCACCTCCTCAGGCCAGTGGGGCCACAGCCCTGCTGATGCTTAACACCACCTCCTTCTGCCCCACCCAGAAATCACTGTGAAATCTCATGATTGGCTTACCGTGAAGGAAATAAAAGTAAAATCACTTCAGATCTCTAAAAAAAAAAAAAAAAAAAAAAAAACTATATAGAAAAAATTAGCTAGACATGGTGGCGAATGCCTGTAGTCCCAGCTACTCGGGAGGCTGAGGCAGAAGAATTGCTTGAGCCCAGGAGTTTGAGGTTGCTGTGAGCTAGGCTGACGCCACGGCACTCACTCTACCCCGGGCAACAGAGTGAGACTCTGTCTCAAAAAAAAAAAAGACACAGGGAAACAGGAAGCTCACGAGGTTATACCACATACAGCTAGAAGATCCACCAATTTATTATGTTCCACAAGAGGGCCCAGAGGATATGGAATTTTCCAAGGCTACAGGGAGTGGGCTGGTGGGATGGGAGCCATCATCACCAAATGGTTCAGTGATGGCTCCCCGGAGAGGTGAGGCCAGCGCTGGCAGAAAAGGCCTTTACAGAACTGGGTTCACTGACAGCAATGGGGTTGACAGGCCCCTGCAACAATGGTGGCCTCACTGCCAGAAGAGAGGTGGGCGAAACTATAATCAGCGGCAGCTAAGGGGTCCTGACCCACAGAGAACCATGGAGACGGTTAACAGAGCATGGCAACCCCAGGGCAAAGCAGATGGCAGCTGGCACTGCTAGGGTGCACTTCAGCTTGGACCACCAGAAGACAGCACAAGGACATGGCCAGGAGGCTGGGCAGTCACCTTAGTAAGACACTATGATCCCTTGACAAGTGTCCAGAGCTGAGTCTGTCTCCAGATCTGGAACCCACTGACTACACAGGAGGCCAAGGCCTGAGTAAGAAGGAGAGTTCACAGCAAGTGCACATGGTAATGATGCCCCAGCCTCCCCCAAAGGGACCTGCAGCCTTTTGCTTGGATAACTGTGCATTGGGGTGAGAGGATACCCAAACATTTAAAGAACTGTTGGACACAGGGTCTGAGCTGACAGTAATACCCAGAGTCGCAAAGCACCATTGTAGCCCGTTGTTAGAAGGGGGGTATATAGTGGTCAGGAAATAAATGGTGTCCTGCCAAGGTTCAGCTAACAGTGGGTCCTTATGACTTCATTTAACCGTAATCACCTCTTGAAAGGCCCTA